CAGGTTCCTGGGTCCAGGAGGGAGGAAGGGAATAGCAACCTCTCCCAGGCACCTTCTGATAGTAAACATTTTTGCAAGAATCATTGAGGATTCCTTTTGGTTACATGTGATTGCACGCAGTCATGCCCACTGAGTTTCCACTGTTGGCCATGTATTTATCATTGTTTCAAATTTTGACTCTGAATCTGGAGCTGTTTGTTCTAAATATGAGCTTCGGAGTTCCTGTCCACCTCCTGAGTCATCATGTCTCTGTCCTAAAGCTCAATTGTTGGCCTTTTGTTCTACTTCTGGCTTCAATGTGAACAAATGGGTGTCTGCACCTTGTTCTGTTTTTTGGACACACACAAATTGGCCTTGTTAATAGAACCTTTATACCGAGAACCCCTTTGTCTCTTCATATGTCACTTTGAGATAACAACATAACTGGCCACACAGGGCATGGTTTCCTTGTTCTAATTAACAACTACAGAGCTCTGTGAACTATTGTTATCTACACTGTCAAAATAGAACTTGACATCCTTTTTTGAGACTTCAGAGACAAATAATGAAATTGTTGCCTATTGCTCAATTTGGGACAAGAAAGATGTAAACCTGGGGCAGAAGACAAAACATTCCTGCTGGTACAAGAAGTCACTGATGATCAGCTATTTTCTGATACATCAGAGAAAGTGAAAGTTACTCGAATCATAGACTGGCTTTTTGATATGAACAGTACCAGAGCCCTGGTGGCACAGTCCATTGGGAGGTGCACTGCTAATCCAAAGGCAGTGCCTCTCAGGTGGTTCAAATCCACCAGCGGCTCCACAGCAGAAAGAGAGTCAATCCTCTCCCATATGACTAACAGCCTCTGAAAACCCACTAGAGGGTCAGCTGTGAGTTGATTCCAACTGGACAGGAATGAACAAGTTGCAGGTGCAACTTAAGGAGCTCTGGTGAGTAAGTAACACTCCTCCTGTCTGCTACTCAAAAGACTTCCAAGTGGAAGCCACTCTGGAGAAAGGAGACCTGTCTCCTGCCATCAAGCTTTGCAAACCCAAAATAGAGTTCTTTGCAGTCAAATTCAATTTCACTTAATAAAGGTTGGTCAGGGTTTTATTTATTATGGAACTATGTGACATGGGGTGCACTGGTGGCCTAGTGGCAAGAAGTTACAGTGTAATCCCAAAGGCACTCGTTTGAATCCACCATCTGCTCCTCAGGAGAACGATGGGCAATATCCTCTCATGTGATTAACTGCCTCTGATAACTCAGTTCCGACTCGATGGTACACATCACCACGACATGCCACAAGTATCCTGTGACTTATTCCCTCTCACTTAACCTTCATAATATCCTATGAAATCTGTGTTGTCAAGATTGTTATTAAAGACAGAAAAACGGAGACTCAGTGAACTTGGTCATTTCCTCAAGGGTCAAATAGCTAAAAAATGGCAGAACCAGACAGAGTGTGGACCCAGATGTGGTCTGGTGGCAGAGCTTTACCAAACTGAATTGCTTGCTGCAGAAGGTCAAAGTCCACGGCCTTTAAAATGAGTTACATCGCAATTTTCTCAAGAAAATTATCACCACAAGGCCAATAGGCAAGATGTTGTTGCTGTTAGCTTCTCTCCAGTTGAGTATAACTCATAGTGACCCTATGAACCGCAGATCTGAACTCTGTCCATAAGATATTCCAACCTTACAATCTCTGACATACTCAAGCCCATGGCTGCAGTTACTGTGTCAGTCTTCTTGGTTGAGAGTCTTCCTCTCCATTGCTGTTCCTCCACCTTTCCAAGCATGATGTCCCTCTACAAGGAATAGCCTTGCCTAGCCTCTCCTAGCAACATGCCATCTCACAAGAATGTGAGTTGAAGCTTGGCCATCCTTGCCTCCAAGAAACACGCTGGTTTGACTTTCTCCAAGACATACCTGTTTCTTCCTTTGGCAGTCCATGGCATATTCAGTACTCTTCTCTAACACTTCAAAGGTGTTGATTTTTTTTTGTTATCCTTAATTATTTTTCAGCTCCCAAATGAATAGCAAGTGATTGAATAGGCAACATGGTAAAGGGAAAAAAGATTGATGTTGTCAACAATTTCATGTTACTTGGATCCACAATCAATATCCCTGGTACCAGCAATCAAAAAATCAAAAGATGAGTTGCATTGGGAAAATCTGCTGTCAGGCACCTCTCTAGAGTACTGAAGAGCAATGATGTCAGTTTAAAGACCAAGGTGCACCTGATTCAAGCAATAGGTTTCTCAATTGCTTATTATACATCTGAAAGCTGGACTATGATTAGAGATGACAGAAGACTCACTGCCTTTGAGTTGTGGTGTTGGAGAAGAGTACTAAATATCCCATGTACTACTAAGAGAATGAACTGGTATGTCCTGAAGAAAGTGACACCAGAGTGCTCCTTGGAGGCAAAGATGGTGACACTCTGTCTCACATCCTTCAAGCATGTTGTTAGGAGGGGCCAGTCCTTGGAGAGGGACATCATGTTTGCAAAGGTGGAGGGACAGCGTAAGAGAAGAAGACTCAACAAGATGCATTGACACAGTGCCTGTAACAATGGGCTCAAGAGTGTCAGAGATGGTGGGATGGCACAGGACAGGGCACAGTTCAGATCCTTTGCTCACAGGGTTGTTACAAGTCGCAGTTGATTCGAATGTGTTTAAAAACAACTAGTGGCATAACAAGGAGCTCTAATGGAGCAATGGTTAAGGATCTGGCTGCTAACTAAAAGGGTGACAGTTTGAACCCACCCAGTGACCTCACCAGGGCAATCTGTTCTGGAAAAGGTTATAGCCTAGAGAACTCCGTTAAGCAGTTCCACTCTACCACCTGGGGCTGTCCTAAGGGAGAACCGATTTGATGTTACCTACTGATAACATGTAACACAGCCAACATCTAAATATCTGGAGACAGGCATGTTGTTGTTATTTGTCACCGACTCACCTGTGACTCATAGTGACCCTATGCACAATAGTTCCAAATCTTGTCCTATCTTGAGTCGATCTCATCATCTCCAGCACAAGTACTCCTAAGACCCCTATCACTGTGTCAATCCATCTCATCCAGGGTCTTCCTCTCCTGCATTGTCCCTCCGCCCTTCCATGAACAATGTCCTTCTCTAAGAACTGGTCCCTGCTGGCAACATGCCTGTTCAAACAATTTCAACATTGCCCTCAATCAGAAGTGATGGAAAACTGGAAGCTGCCTATCTGATAGGAAGGGCAACCATGAGGTGAGCCTCAAGTGTTATAAGACCCATCGATGAGGCAGCATTAGGCTGCAGTACAGGAAAAGAAGAAAAATCGGGGAGTCTATGGTTCTTCTTCTCCCAGGCAAAGGGCTATCATGAGTCTGCATTGACTTGAACGACCTGGGGTTGGCTGGGTTTGCAGATGTGGACAGGAGGTTCCAGTCAAATATGGCTGGAGGAAATTCAGGAGTCTTTGAGTGTTCAGCAAGTTGTGTTAGGTGGGGATTTTTGGGTGGTTTGTGGTTTTTTGTTTTTTGTTTTTTTTAAGAGCTTTATTGGGAACACACACGGGGATGGCACCATGGAGGGAATAATAATAGTTTCTTTAAAAGTTTAAATTAATGAAAAGATGTACCAGGGTACAAGTTGTGATTATTGAACATTTCTTATTCGTTATGTGTTAGGTACTTGGCGGATGTGGACCCCCAAGGACTTGGATGCTGTTCCTGCGTCACCCTGATAATTTTTAAATTGACTATGTCCTTTTAACCATGTTTTAAAAATTTGAACTATCCCAATGTGAACACTTTCCATTTTTCTATATAATGAGAGCACTTTCATTCCTTTAATGTTTGCCTTCGCCTTTGATCTAACAATTTCTGTTCAAATTTCACACTTTTCTGTTGCTTCAGGATTGAAAGAACCGATTATCCTGCTGGGAGCATGAAATAGACTTAAAAAATCTGCATGATATTTCCTCCCAGTGAAATTAATTTAGGCTTAAATACAGGGGGAAGGTACACACCTAAGCTCAAGTCTTCCTCTCACACACCTAAGCACTTCCTTAAGCTGAACAGGTACAAATGGACCTGATACTAAGTCTCCAGTCTTTTGTCAGCATCCTAATCAAGGGACACAGCCTGTGAACCTCTTTCTCTTTGACATTGGCTTTGTATGGGCCTGTTGACACATTGGGAACCTCTCTCTTTCACTCTCTTTAAAGCTAACCTTGAAAGCACAGTGGACCAGCTGGTTCTGGTTCACAGCTGGGGTACTTAGGTGCAGTTGAATTGGCTTCCCTGGCGTTCTGAGGATGTTTTAGGAAAGAGACTTCTAGCTATGCAGGGGGCCAGAGCAACAAAGGACAATTTGGAGGGGAGTGCAAGGGGCACTCCAGAGCCACTTAGACCTTTCAGGCCCCTTTTTGCCTCGTACAATGTCCCAGGTGATCCTACTATCCCCAAGGGCTTGCTGCTCGAAGTCTGACGTGTCGAATCCAGAACCAGCACCTCCCTTGCTCTGGCCCCCGGGTCGCCTGCAAAACCCCGGGGCAGCGCTACGCGCTGCAGCTGTGCGCATCCCGCGCTCTTGGGGCGCCTTCTCAGGACCTCAGGGTCCCTCTGCCCAGTCCAGTCGCCCTCCACCAGCTGGTCCCCAGACTCCCCCCTTCAGCCCCAGACGCTGGAGCTGTCAAGCCTGCGGAGCAGAACCAGCCCCCGAGCGCCCGCGTCTCCTCTGCTTCCTTTGTGTGCGCGCGAGCGGAGTCGGGGCGGAGGGAGAGGGGGAGGTCGCTCTGTCTGTCTCCCTCCGACTTTGCCAAGGCGGCTCGGGGTACAGCGGGGAAGGAGGGAGCCCGGGAGGTTTCGGGGAGCTCTAGGGGCGGCTCAGGGCCGCCTGGGCGCCTGGGTCCCAGCTGCGCGCAGGGAAGCACGAAAGGAAGCTAGGGGTTCGTCTAGAACCCCCTCTTAGCCCGCCTCGGTCGCCCCTCGGCCTCCCTCTGCTCCCACCTACCCCCGACACCCGGAGAACAGCGAGCAAAGGCGCTGAGAGGGACGGAAACCACAAATAAATAGCGGCGGCGGCAGCGCGTCATCTGGCGGAGCAGGAAGTGCAGGCAGAGTCCGGAGGCCGGTGCTCTCGGCGCGTCCCCAGGACTTTGCCATGGGCTGGGGGCCGCGGAGACTGCGAGCGGCCGGGCCAGGGCAGCGGCGCCCAGCGCACCGGGGCTGAGCGAGCAGCGACGCGCGGGCCGTGGAGATGGCAGCGTCCAGCAACTCCAGCCTGTCCGGCTCCTCCGTGTCCTCGGGTGAGTGCCAGCCCGTCGGACGGGCTGCGGCGCCGGCTCGCGCGCCCCCGACCCTTCGCGGCACCCCGGAGGCTCGGAGCCTACCTGTGGCCGTCCCGCACGCCCCGTCCGCGGAGGCGTGGGGTGGGGGACACTTGCTTGGTTTGCCTGCACCTCGGTGCCCATTGCACCTCCGCGCCTGACATATCTGACAGTGCAAAGGTGGGAGAGTGGCGGCGCCCTAAGTGTGGTGAAGCGGGTCTTCTGGGCACTTGGGGCGCAGCAGGCAAGGAGCGAAAGGCGCCAGGCGGGCTCACACTTTCTGGCGGAGCCTGGAGGTTAGGACGCCGCGGGGTGCCGGGCCAGTTCACCGGGCCGCGCCCACTCCCCTCGGCCACAGTGCGTGCCCAAATCAAAAGCAGAGAGGAGCAAACCCTCGCTCCTCGCAGACTTGATTTTCTTTGTTTGTTTCAGAAATTAGCTCCGTGGAGCATGGGTTTAAGGTGGAAAGAATGAAGGAATAGTGGAATTGTGGCTTTCTTGCTTTGATTGAAAATGGTTAGGGGAAGGGAAGTGTAGCCCGCTGTTGACTCCGTGCTGGGGTAGTGGTGGTGTGTGTGGTGTGTGTGTGTGTGTGTGTGTGTGTGTGTGTGTGTGTTGTTAAGATTTTCCTGTGTGACACCTTTGGACATTTTCTTGCAATATTCTTGTCATTTTACTTTCAAAGCATACGTTTTTCTTCTTTTCAGTGCGGTTAAGCAAAAGGAAAGCTTTTCAGTCTTGTCTATGTGGTTAATCAGGAGGTCTAATTGAAGAGCACAAACATTACTAATGAATCTGAAGAAACAGGAATCAATGGAAACAGACCCACTGATTTCCGAGTATAGCAGGTTTCTAAGCAGAATGGTGCATTAGGTAGAATTCCTCTGCCTCTCTGGCCATTGAAAACTTTAATGACAGACCCTTAAGGGTTAGCTGAGAAATATCTGGTACTCAGGAGTCAAGAAGGTCATGACATACTAATGGAAATGTGCGCTCATACATATTTTTAACCATTATTACTGTATTAGAATTAAAAAAATTTAACTTATGGCAAACACACCTTGTTGGAGACATTGGCCAGCAAGCTAAGCAGAGAGAGATAACCAAGCCTACAGACGTGTGACTAATTAAATCATAAATGCAACTTGACTAAAGGACAATGAGGACATGGCACAAGGTGACCAGTTGTAAAGCATCTGTTATCTTTCTTGGCAGGTTGAGTCCCAGGGAAATATCACTTCCTTTCTTGATCCCTGCCAAGTAATCCAAAACAGTGGTGTTGGGTTTATGAGAGCTTTCAAGTTTCTGCTGGTAGCAACCAATGGGGCAGAACAGTCATATCTTATTAAGAGGAGCAACAAGTTGACCGCCTGTGGTTTTCATTCTGAGAACTCAGCAAAAGCTACAGTGTATTTTTAGTACCCTTCAAACCACTGAAGCTGCTTTTCAATTCATTTTGGTTGACTAGCGTTGAATTTAAACTGCAGTGATGTTGGCTTACTATTAGCATATGATTATGCCTCTCAGACAACTGCCCACCAGAAAAGGATCTGGCGGAGGAGAGGAAGCGAAAGGGAAGACGAATGGAGGGAGAGCAAAGAGCAGGGCTGTCACATGATTTACTGATGACATAAATTACAGATGCCATGGCATCAGAATTTTCAGATCTTGATGGAGCATAGGAAACCTCATTGAAAGAGCTAATTCAGCCTTAGGAAGAGTGTGTTGGAGTGAATCAGCAAAGCATAAGCTTTAGATGATGGTAATTGCTTTGCAGATAGGATAGAGACATGATGTTTCTCTTTCCTGCTTTATTTAACACTCTTTTAAATCCTAAAAGAAATTGGAAAACTCCTTGAAAGCTGAAATTTAAAAAGTGGACAAGGATATACTAAGAGGTGTGAATCGCCCTCATCATGAGCGTGTATTGTATTGCCTAATTCATCAGTGAATCAAGCACTTTGCCTTGAAAAGCTAGAAGAACTGCAATTCTTTCTTTAAGCACACTTATCATTTGTGCATCATGAATAATTCAGATGATACAAGCAATTCACACCTGTGAGAGGTGTTGGGCAGGAAAGAATAGAGCTTATTGGAGAAAGCAGCTGGGTTCTTTCAGGCCCATAGTGTGAGAAATTGGTGCAGTCTATCCATCCATTAATCACCATTGTTCAGGACCTACTGTGTGCGCAGGCACTAAATGATAAATTTCAGCCTCAGAGAGATAAAAAGAGAAAGATAATTTTAGGATTCTCTCCAGCCCTGAAGTTCTTCTGAAATCTAGTGATCTATGGTCAGTTAAGTGACTTGGAGAGAATGATTATTTAACCTTTCTAAGCCTTCAGTTTCTCATCTATAAAATGGAGCTAATGATAACTGGAACTACATCATAGGAGTGTTGTGAGGATTAAACATGATAATATGTATAAAACACTTAGCACAGAGCCTGGCACTTAATAAAGGCTTGGGATGGGTGATGCTTGCTCTTATAGAAAAGGAGAAAGAAGACACACATTGGCTTACAGCAAGTCCAACACACATAAAATCTGCTTCATACAGCCCATGCCAATTTGAGATTCAGACTCTTAAACAAGCATTTATTGAATGTCTTGTAGATTTAAGGGATAACCTAAGGTGTATGAAAAAGCTGTATCAAGGTCTATTCCCAGCAGCAGAGATGGACAAGTAAATAGCAATTAGTAGTCCAGTTTGATAAAATTAGGCATGGGGAGGAAATTTAGAGCGCCCACTGGAGGTGGCATATGAACTGGGCCTTGAAAGGATTTTTTTCCAGAAAGTAGGAAAGAGAGAAAGACATTTTTGGAAAAGAGAAGAGGCATAGACATAAATGGCCTGGATATGGGGAACTTTATGGTGTGATTTTCAACTTTCTTTCTAAAGGCTGTTGATCCTCTTCCTTGGTGGCTGGATTTTAGGCAGTTTTGCTTGTAGGTCCATAAGTAGCATTGTGCACTGAGCTTTCTGGTGGCTTATTGCTGAGGCTGATGTGGAAGCCTCTTTCAGTGCAGGTAGTGGTGGGTTTGACACAGCACTTCAGGATCCTTGGGATATATTTGGGCAAATGAGACCTAAAAAAAAAAAATGAGCAGTCAATTCTGTAGTGCCCAGCACACAGAAAAGTGCATTTAAAGTAACACTAGTTAAAGCTCTCACAGAGGAATAGGCATGAGGATTTTAGAGTTGGTTTTATTTACGCAGACATTAAAGATCGAATAATTTGCTCAGTATTAAGCTCAAGGTGATCTGATTTTCCTGAGAATGAGCTCTCACTTGGTGCTGTTAAACCACGTCACTAAGTGTGTCATTTATTCTACCCTGCTGGCTGAGACATAACAAATGAAATAAGCAGGTTGGAATTAAGTTTTAAATACATTTCCTGGGAACTCTTTAGAAATTTTCTTCTGGAGTATTCAATTACATGTAAAAGAAATTGCTTTGCCTTTGTTTTAATGATAACTGCTCGTAATTAAATTTCACAATCACCTAGATTGGCAGAAAGATTTGATTACCTTTATTACTTTTAAATCACACACACATATCCCTATCTTTAAGCTTTTAATCCAGCCTATGGTACTTGATTATATTCTGGAATAAACAATGGTTGATTTGCACAACCATTTTCTTAATCATATGGGTTCCATTTACTTTTTTTAATTGCAAAGAGATTTGGTAATATAATTGCTAAAGGGATACTTTCTCAGGATAAAGAAAACACCCAAGTAATAAATAAATGATACAGAAATTTGCATTAGCACACTTTAGGGTAAAAATGGAAATGGACACTGACTTATTTTAATTAAAATGCAAATGATAAAGGTGAAAGTCAATGTTATGTGCAGAAAAAAGAATGTTCCCAAATGGTTTGGATTATTTATTGCTTTAAATCCTATGGACTGGTAAGGCCGACCAGGTAAACAATGCCATTTTTTGCTGTTACCTTGGTGATATTCATAGAACTAAAAGTTGGGAACTTTTCTTCCTTACAATTGGGGTTGTGTAATTAGTGACATATTCAACTCTTTCATATCCCTAGATGCAGAAAAACATTCAACCATACTAATGCTCCAACACACCTATGTAATTAGAAACTCTGTGGACCTAATATTCTAAAACAGAGTGTCTTTATTGGAACAGACATTCCCATCATCAAGCACAGTGGAGATCCTCTTGGATCTTTTCCTTCCTCTAGGCAAAAATTAACCCTCTCAAGACATCATTGGCTCTGATAGAGGCATTGCTCCTTGCAGTTTTCATGATGATCTTTCCTCACCTCATTTGAACTTAACTAGATTTCCTCTTTCCGTTTGTAACCACCCTGATGAACTGAGAGATGCAGAACCTGAGAGGTAAGCCTGTGTGCAGAGTTTCACTAGGGACACTGGTTTGCACGTGTTTGCCAAGAATCCCTGTTCCCTCAGGACACCCATGGAAAGTATGGAATGCTGCTGTCCTTTGCTGAGCTTTTTAAGCATACAGACACCAGGTATTTTTCGAGGCCTGTCTGTGCAGGCTTTTGACTGGACAGTGTGTTCCCTGAGCTGCCACCTGGGGTCTGGCCCGAGTGTCAGTCCTACAGAGGGCCGTCTGCTGCTCAGCAAGGTCTCCTGTTTTTTGCACCATGGTGAAAATAACTGGACATGTGGTTTGGAAAACCTGTACGTGAACAGTGTCATGTTGGTGTGTTTAGGAAGAATTTGCCGCCAGAAAATTGAGGTTATTGACCTAAATGCTTTGAGATGTCGAAAGAGAAATGTCCTTGCCCTAGTGCTAAACGCTGTTGTCAGGTGCTTTTGAGTTGAATGTTGAATGTGTCTCATTGCAACCCTGTATATAGACCTGAATCTTCCTATCCTGTGCTATCTCACCATCCCTGACACTCTTGAGACCATGGCTGCAGTCCCTGTGTCAGTCCACCCAGTTCAGGGTCTTCCTACCCTTTCCACTCCTCAGCTATCCCA